AGTAAAAAAAAAAAAAAAAGAGAAATGAGTACTAACCGGCTTATCAGTACATATCTGAATAATCATTTTGTTTTAAATCACAAAAATATTTTTTTCATTAGAAAAAAAAAAAAAACAATGCAAAAAATATATCAAGTTAAAAAAGCTTTTCAACTTCAAACGGACGCTATTTATTTTTCTCAAATTAAAATTTTTTTTTACTGTGAAAGTTCCACTTATATAATTATTTCTAAAATATTTGTGTAGCAATACATCCTACCTCTAAATCTGCACCGGCGAGTATAGCACCCCTAAGATCACAATTCTTGAGCACAGCATTTTTCAAAGTAGCTACGCGCAAATTAACGCCGGCCATGTTGCTGCCCTCAAGATTTGCGTTTTTGAGATTAACTCCTTCCATATTGGCCGACAAACCACCGGGATCTTCAAAATTACAAGCATGAAGATTGGCACCTTCAAGATTAGCGCAGAGCATCTTGACGCATACCAGATGCGCGCCCTCCAGATTTGCTGACGACAAGTCGGCTCGCTCAAGACAGCAGCCCGTCAAGTTAGCGCCGCTCAAGTCGCATCCATGCAAGTTTGCATACTGCAATAAATGTGATATGCGTTCGAATGCTTGAATGTACGATAAAATATTTTTATCCGATCAGTTTTTTTAATTTATACATTTTTTATTCCATGATTAAATGTAACTTTTTGATTAAGTACATTACCAAGTTGAAAATTTCTGAGCAGTGCGCTTAATTTTAATTGATTATGATTCGAAAAAAATCGTTATATTTTTGGAAGACTGATATTATTAAAGAAAAAGAAAAAAAGAAAAACAAAAACATAGACCGAGTAGAATACTTAATGAAGTCATTAATTTATGCTGAGATGATTATGACAACACAAAAACATCTGTAGCTAGAAAACTAATAACTTCAATGGAAATTTTAAAAAAATACATACTTACTTAATTTAAGATAGATTCAAAATCGAAACAAATGATGGAAAAATTTTTAATCTTCGAAAAATAATATTGAACTAGAAACTATGGTGAATTACTATTGATGAAATATATTTAACATTTCAAATAAAATACAATATTAATTACAGGTACATGCAACCATGTAGTGTTTTTTTCGTAATATGCCTTGCAAATCTGTATTATTTAGATAGCTGTAAGAAGTATTATATAACATAGTATAGAAACTTTTGTAATAAACTGATATATTTATTTGTTTGCACTATTAATCAAAACTATATATCAATAAACACAAGTTATAGTAGACTAAATAAAATTTCAGGCATAGAAAATTCATTAAAAATTGAAGCTGAAAAAAAATTATTCAATTACAAAAAGATTATGTAATTGTTGTAACAATTAGTTAAATTATCCCAAAATTTCTGGTTTCTAATACAAGAAAAAAAATTAACAATACTAATCATTTTGTAATCATAATTCATGCTATTCAGCCTACAGTTTAGCAAGTCATAAAGTGCATTAGAAAATTTGAAAATAGTATTCTCTAAAAAAAAAATTATCGATTACTGTAGGTGGGTCTTAAAAAATAAAAAAAACAATGTTTTTATTATAATTCATTTATTAACATCAGGATGCTATTCATAAAATTATACGGAATGCTCAGAACTACATGTTTCATACATTAGTAAAATATTGTAGATACAGTGACTCCATAAAAATATAAACATTACAACTTAACAGAAGATATATTGTTAACTACAATGAATAGAAAAGTATCTCATTGATTTAGATTTTTTTAACGAATCAATAATAGGAGTATATAAGTAGACTAGATTAATTTTTGTTTACATTTTAGGTAATAAATATAACAAATTATATAACAGCGAAAATTGAGCGTTTTTAAACCATTGAAATCAATTAAAATATTTTTCGTGTGCATTTAAATTACTTTGTGATACCGAAATATGTCGTTAGAAAAAATAGAAAAAAATAAACAAAATTGGTTGCAAAGTGGAAAGAATCATAAAAACTTTTTTAGTTTATATAAAAGCAGTTTAATTGACAAGCTTAATTTCCTTGTTTCTTTACTACGTGTCTAACAGATCTTAACTTATTCAACAAAATATAACATTCTTACATGATTAAATAATAAGGAGAAAAAGTAATAAATGAAACGGCTGTACTAAGCTGCCTAAGCGGCAGATTTTATTTGTTGCTTAGCAAAAACCATGTACATATAACTTTCATGAATCTCAACAATAGCTCAAAATAAACAAGAGCATTAGTTTCGCTTTTGATGAATATTTGTAGTTTTGATACTAAAATCAAATAGCTAGTCACGAAACGTTAGTTTTTTACATTTAACTCTGTTAAGTGAATAACAATATTTTGTGAGCATGGATTAGTTTTTTAACATGCTTTGATAAATTATATATTCTTATTAAACGTTTATTATAAGCATATCTATATGCTTAGAGTTTAGATTACTGCAATATAAGCATTAAAACGTGTCAAAGACAGAAATTTATATTGAGCATATCCGTACGCGTGAGTTCAAATCCTCAAGCATTATAACAATATAAGCTTGAAGTAAACATTCATGATAAGCATATCCGTACGCGTAGAGATGTAAATCCTTGAACATAATTATAAAATTTAATTTTAGGTAAACGTCTTTGTAAGCATATCCGTACGCATAGAGATGCAAGTCCTTAGACATGATTTTAAAATTTTATTTTAGGTAAACGTTTTTAAAGCATATCCGTACGCGTAGAGAATTAAATCCTCGAATATAATTTAAAAATTTTACTTTAGGTAAACGTTTTATTAAGCATATCCGTACGCATAGAGATGCAAGTCGTTAGACATGATTTTATTATTTTATTTCAAGTAAACGTTTTTTGTAAACATGTACGTACGCGTTAAGTTAACGTACGTTTAATTCAAATATGGTTAATAATATTTTGTATATTTTGGAGAAATAGTTTCGTAATATTTTGCAGAATGTTAAGTCCTTGCCATGAAAATCAACTATTTAAAAAAAAATGAAAACATTTCTTGTCTCTACTTCATTCCGTTTGCTAATTCTTACGTTTTTTATTTTATTTTTTTTTTCGTTTTGAAATTTTTTACCATTAATATATTCAAAAATAATCGTAACATCACTTTTGATGAGCGAACTAAATATTATTTTATAGTCCAATAGATTAGACAATCAAATAAAAGATAGTCTTGCACAAAATCATCATCTGTTCGGCACAAATCAACAATTTCAAAAGCTTAACAGAAAATCTTAACTTCAAAGAGACTTGATGGATTCATCAAAATTTTTTTAGCACAAATATAGAGGGTACGATGACCTTAATTGAAAAGTTCAGCGTTTACAAAAGTCTATATAAAATAGGCTTTCAATCAAGCTTGGATTCTTCCAATTTTTTTTCCTTACATTACCTGATTGTCTGTGACATGTGTAGTGGCGTTAGCATCAACTCGAAAGTTGCGTTCTTTAAATTGGCTCCCCGTAGGTTTGCTTCATGGAGATCTGAACCTGATAGGTTGCAACACTGAAATTAATATTGTCGTTCGATCAAGTGTTAGGAGACCATAATTTAAAAAGATTGCGATCATGAGGTAAAACTGAGCCGTCAGTGATTACTTTTTTTTTTATATCTATTATAAAGTTATTTTCCGGCCTACAACGCTAATCAGAAAATTAAAAAGGAAAGCCACATTTTTTAGAATTTATTTGCAAGCAACAACACATTTGAATTATACTCACATAAAACAAAAAAATCTACACAAGAATGATCATCCTACTTTTCAAGATGTATTTTGCAACATTGTTTGTAAGAGATGCACGCTTAATACATTTATATTTACAAGACGCAAAAAAATATCATTCCTCAAAGAGAATTTTTAGGCTGTCTTTTAAAATATGAGAATGAAGATATTTTAATGCATAATAACAACTTTCATTGCAACAGCGATTCAAACACGGTAGATTAACTCGAAAATAAATTCTTATTTTCATTAGTTACGTAGAGGTTTTTTTGGTAAATCTATTACTTTCCACAGACGTACTTTAGGGTTTTAATAAATTCAGTAAAAAAAAAAAAAAAAGAGAAATGAGTACTAACCGGCTTATCAGTACATATCTGAATAATCATTTTGTTTTAAATCACAAAAATATTTTTTTCATTAGAAAAAAAAAAAAAACAATGCAAAAAATATATCAAGTTAAAAAAGCTTTTCAACTTCAAACGGACGCTATTTATTTTTCTCAAATTAAAATTTTTTTTTACTGTGAAAGTTCCACTTATATAATTATTTCTAAAATATTTGTGTAGCAATACATCCTACCTCTAAATCTGCACCGGCGAGTATAGCACCCCTAAGATCACAATTCTTGAGCACAGCATTTTTCAAAGTAGCTACGCGCAAATTAACGCCGGCCATGTTGCTGCCCTCAAGATTTGCGTTTTTGAGATTAACTCCTTCCATATTGGCCGACAAACCACCGGGATCTTCAAAATTACAAGCATGAAGATTGGCACCTTCAAGATTAGCGCAGAGCATCTTGACGCATACCAGATGCGCGCCCTCCAGATTTGCTGACGACAAGTCGGCTCGCTCAAGACAGCAGCCCGTCAAGTTAGCGCCGCTCAAGTCGCATCCATGCAAGTTTGCATACTGCAATAAATGTGATATGCGTTCGAATGCTTGAATGTACGATAAAATATTTTTATCCGATCAGTTTTTTTAATTTATACATTTTTTATTCCATGATTAAATGTAACTTTTTGATTAAGTACATTACCAAGTTGAAAATTTCTGAGCAGTGCGCTTAATTTTAATTGATTATGATTCGAAAAAAATCGTTATATTTTTGGAAGACTGATATTATTAAAGAAAAAGAAAAAAAGAAAAACAAAAACATAGACCGAGTAGAATACTTAATGAAGTCATTAATTTATGCTGAGATGATTATGACAACACAAAAACATCTGTAGCTAGAAAACTAATAACTTCAATGGAAATTTTAAAAAAATACATACT